TCAGGCTGCAACATAACAAAATTGAAAAAAGTGAAGGGGTTCTGAATACTTTCTGAATGCATTGTAGATAGCTTCCTTCATTTTCTGTGTTAACTTCTGCCTGCTTATTTCTCCTGGACAAGCAAAAATGAAGAAATACTGTGTTCCTTACCATTCAGCAAGGTGAATATTTACATTTGCAACAAAATTCAACAACTTTTAAAGTAAACATATATTTAAAATAAATTATACATAATACATTTTATAAACAGTGACTTTATATTTGTAAAGGGTGCTAAAAAGTAAGAATCACAATATTTAACTTTTTTGTAAAAATTCAATTTTTTCCTAAAATTTCAACATTTTCCCAAAGCTGAGGAAAACAGTTTTTAATTACTTCAACATTTCCAAAAATTGTACATCACTATTTGAATCATATTTTAATATTGAGAGTATTTTCATAATAACTTTTTATTAAATTTTTAAACAAGAAAGATAAAAACTACAAGAACTAATATTTAAGAAAAAAGAAAATAGAGAACAAAGGCAAAAGTGCAGAAAGAAAAAAAGAAAAAAATATGAAGATTATATGCCTTCTTTATAGGATTTTCTACAAACTCATACTACATGGCTATCCTGCTACTAACATGGAATAACTGTGTCATTTGCACAATCTGTTGTACAAATAGCATGACTGCTTTATAGCTCTGTATATCTGAAAACTCTTTTGTGAGGCCAACCTTTCAAATTATGCATATACATTCTTTTGATCCTTTGCACCCTCGTAAATTTTAGTATTAGCATAGCTTTAAAAAAAAATATGCTTAGCTGGCTTGTTGGAATTTAAAAAGCAACAACTGTAGTATATCTTCCACAAGTTTAGTTCTCTGCTCAGGAGAAGGAAAAGTGACTTCAGAGCAATTTCTACCATTTCATCCTTCTAAGTAGTTCAAAAGGCAATTGTGACCCCTGGCACCACATAAATATTCTGGGAGGCAAATTAGTACAGGCTAATATCCATGAGAATCAGCACTGTCGAGAATGCTTGTACATGAGGCTACAGCTATTGTCCTCAGTTTCTAAGCTATGGGGATTACAAAGCACTGTATTCAATTCTCTTAGATTTTTAGCTAGCATATAAGGAAGACCATAGTTGCAGTTTGAAGAATTTTTTAACTGAATCTCAGACAAAATATGAAAAAAAAGCATTTGTATGTGTATAGATTTTATACGACATCACATTATTTTTAACAAGCAGAAATAAATTGGGGTACCAAAACACAACCATTTAGATTTATAGCATTTTGTCAAATGCTAGTTTTGGCTACAGGGAATAATAAAGAGGCCCATAAATCACAAACATATTATTTCTAAGCAGTAGGGGATTAGATTCTTTTCTACATGCAGTATACCAGTTAGAAGATTCAAAGTCCCATTCATAACTGGATTTCCTCTGCCCCCAGAGCAGTTTCAAAACAGAAGAGACCAATTGCTGCAATAATTTATGTAATCGCCGACAACTATACAGTACTGCTCTTCTGCATTCCAAACAAGAGTAGCTGGGCTTTATAACTTGCTTAAAGCTTATTGCTTCAGTTTTGAAAGTAATTGCTGAATAGATCTTTTTTTCTTCTCTGTCTCACTATTCCAGAACTGATTGGTCTGCTATCATCTGCCTGTGTTCTAATGGATCCTTATGTGTTTTGAACATGGAAAACATAGGCCGTAAAATGAACGTGATCCTCTTTACTTAACTGAAATCTGAATGCTGAAAATGAACTTTCATAGCAAAACCTTAGGTGTGTCTAGAAACCCACCTACCACTTGACCTTCCAGAAAACTACCACTGCCAAGCCTAGTGGAAAGTCTTGAAAGAGATCTGCTGATTCTTTTTGATACACCTTAATAAAAGTGGAAAAACACAGAAACAGTTAAATTAGCTGAGGAATAAAAAGAACAGCAAAAAAACACAATACAAGTAAGAACAATGGAAGAGATTACAGTGCTGCAAAATATCCTTAGCACCAAAATGGTTTGTTTGTTTACTTACTTAGAGAATTAGTATGGCTATCCATCTTAAATACACAACTTTAGACAACAAACAGCCAATTTTCAGAAACAATATAAAAGAACCCCATAACCAGACAAAGTTAAAATAATCCAGACAAAGAAAAAAACTGAGGCACCATATAACAAACTTGCAAAACAGACACATATATATTGAGCTCCCCTAACACCCCAGCCCTAACATCTGGGGAAAAAGCCAGTTCTTAACAGTTTTCTGGAAGGTCAAGGGTTTCGACCACCTTGAATCTCAGGGGGAGAGATTCCATTGGGCAAGTGCTGCAACAGAAAAGGCAAACCTCCTTGGTCCTGCAAGATGACACTGTTTAATAAAAGGGACCTAGAGCATGCCTACCCCATTAGATCTGATGGAATGGGCAGAAACCCTCAGAAATAGATGTTCCCACAAGTTACCCAGCCCTGTGCCATGCAAGAGTTTTAACCATCATCTTGAATTGCACCTGGAAGCATACTGGAAGCCAATGCAGGTTACACAGCAGTGGTGTTACATGGGTACGTTTTGAAGTGCCCCAAACTGTATGTGCTGCTGCATTCTGAACCAGTTGAAGCTTCCGTGTGTTCTACAAAGGCAGCCCCATGCAAAGCACATTGCAATAAACCAATCAGGAAGTGTATAAGACATGGGTGACAGTGAGCAGGGTCTCACAGTCCAGGTTTTACTAAGGTTTTCTTTAACTTCAGTACAACATGTTCCAGAAAGACCTTAAGACCTGGCTTGTTCCCAGGCCTGGGGTTAATGTGTTTGTTATGCATTGGTGGGGCCCCTGTCATAGTTTTGTATTGTCTATTGTTCTAGTTACTTTACTTCAGGCTGCCCATTTACATGGGTTTAATTGTTTTAATCATTATATATATATACTGTCCCCTTCATGGATCACTGCCTTGTCGTGGCGAAGGGGCTTGCGTAACTCAGTGA